GAAAACACACGGCAGTGTGGGCAAGGCGGTCGCACGTGCCACCGTCGACGATGTYATTTCCCGCCAGAAAGAAGCGACGTCACGGGAGGTCCATCTCCGAAAGACTACTTAAGTCCTGCGCATCCCGACCCGCCTGTATGTCGTCCACGCCACGAAGGTGTCTCCAGTACAGCAGCCCGTCACGCCTGCCGCAAGCCGCCCACAACAACGACGAGGTGCTGCAAGCCTGGTCGCCTTGGATCATTGTGATCGTCGCTCTTGTATTCTTCTCGCCGCCATTCTTCTCAACGCGGATTTACTCTCGCCGTGGCCTTCGTCCTTCTGTGAACCACGCGCACGTCGTCGTCTTCTTCCCACGGAGGACTGATCTCCTGCGTCGCGGGGGTGTTCGTCGTCGTCACGTCTTCTTCTTGCGGAGGACAGATCTCCTATGTGCCACATGCACGTCGTCGTCTTCATCCCGCGGAGGAGAGATCTACTGCGTCGCGTGGATGTCCGTCATCGTCGCGTCTTCCTCCCGCAGAGGACAGATCATCTATCTGCCACGTGCACGTCATTGTCGTCATGCCACAGCCGCACGGGAGACCTTTTTCACGGGGGACATATTTTTCGCCAGGTCGGCCACACTTCCCACTCGTCCGATCACACTGCCAAGCTCGCCTTCAAAGGTCACCACGAAACATGTTTACGCAAGGGAACGACCGTGGGAAGAAGCGCGACGTGGTCGTCGACGATAGTCAAGAGCAGGGAAGAGGGGGGCGGCAGGCCCCGAAAGCGAAGAGGGTGCGTAAGGAAGATGCATAGCCAAGGGTTCGTGGTCGTGGAGCGCAAGGTTGGGCGGGGGAAGTGGAAGGGGACTGTGATGATGAGTTCACGACGGAGGAGGAGCAGGCGGAGGCGACAACGTCTGAAGTACGCGAGAGCGATCGGCAGCGCTCTTCTGATCGCACCGCTTCGAAGAGGATGCAGACCCCTCCACATGAGGCGCAGCAACTGCATGGCCGTGAAACGCGGACAGAGAAGGCTCCCGTCGTCGATCTTGGCGGCGAAGATGACGAGCCCTTGGAGAGACGCCGCATTCGCATTCGTACGACGGCGACCCCACCGCCGGAGGTGGTCGTGCGGGTTGCTACAAATGATAGGCCAGTCTCGGGCAGGCTTCCCGCCACACCGTCTCAGCCACGTCAACGTAGCGACGCTGGTGATGGAGGGTCCGTCCAACGTGTTGGCGGGGGGGAAGTCGTGGCAGACGCTCGCGCAATTGGCGCCCAGGTGGCAGGTGTCGTGGGGGCGGTTGTTTCAGGCAATGTGGGCGCCGTAGCGACTGGGAGGGAGGACGCAACAGTTGTGGTGACGGCGAGAGAGGAGGCGCGTGGCGAGAGGAAAGTCGAGCGGGAGGCAGGCGAGGCCGATTCAAGTCGGCCACGAAGGAGTGTAATGACGAAAGACCTCRTTGATCATGTCGTCCTTTGGGTGGATGACAAAGCTTTCTGGACGACCGGGGAGGGGCGAAGACTATACAACATCGTACACGAAACGAAAGACTACTTTGTCGCCATCGCCAACGGACTTCCAGCGCCTGACGTCCCTCGGAGCGTCGTTCTACCTAAAGCCAGCACGTGCGTGGCCAGGATCGCCGACCAATCACAGTTGCACAAGCGATCTCCCATGCGGCGGCAGTGGAGAACGTTGCTCTGCGCATCTTGCACGGATGGGGATTCAAGTCCGAAAATCGGCCAAGGGGATACCATGTGGCTTTCCAGCACTCGCTGGAATCCTTTGCGACAGACATTGTGCATGCCATGTGGTACGGCGAGGAGTGGTGCGAGGTTGTCAGTCCGACGATTTGCACGCGCACGATAGATCTATCCATAGACCTACCGCTTTGGTTCGTCGGCGCCAACATCGAGGACAGACCAGAGGACGACGACATGGCGGCGCACCAGGAGTCTACCGTCATCCGCGTCCCGTATGCATTCCGCGCGGCCGTGCAAATGGGTGCGCTCGTCGACGGCGAGTTCATCACGCACGATCGTCTTTCTCGGGTGGCTGATTGCTTCAGGTTGTTGTTGGCGGCGTGCATGTGGATAATGCGCATGGCAGAAGACGATCCGCGCAGCCGCTATGACGCTTTCTACTTCGCGAACCTCGTGGCGAAGCCCTCACTCATCGCGGCCATGCATCGCTCCTTCGATCATCAACGATCCGTCGTCCGCGCCGCGAAAGTCGCCACGGACAGGCTAGGGAAGGTGACCGCTACGATCGGACAGTACCCCAACTATATACCTCAATGGGCGCCCTGCGGCATTGCTTTCAAGCACAACGCGAGCATAACGGGGCCGGAGGATGCAAAGAAGCTAGATTGGTTGGGTTTGGGCCCCCTTGATGATGACAACAACGACGATGGGAAAGATGACGCGTAGCGGGGGGGAGGGAGAGGTTGGGGCTGGTGGTTGGCTGGGGAGGAAGACGGATGGGATGGGAGGGGAGGTTTGGCTGCTTCTGTGGACTCGCGCGCATGTAGTAGTGGATGGTCGTCATGCAGGAGGATGGGGTTGCACCGACGCAAAGTGCGCACCTGTTTAGTGTGTCGAAGAGAGGGATTCCGCAAGATCGTCGTCGGTTGCGCACTTGTCGCCTCTGCCACGAAGTCGGGTTGATAGGTTTGAATGGTTTGTGGTGCGTCGGGATACAAGTGTGCAGTGTGTCGGTCGTTGTAGTCGACGACGATATCATTCAATGTCGTCATGTATTGTGTATTTATATTCGCAGCTCGCTGCGCGAGAAGTTCATAAGGCTTTCAACGCACTCTTCTTTTAATGTGATGTGTCCGTTGTTCTCGTGTCTTCTGTCAAGTTCTGTCGAATGATTGCAAGGTGATTGCAAATGATCGACTCCTATGCATGCACGCAATCCATGTTCATCTATGTCTGTTTTTTGTGTTACGCAGTTTACTAATGTGAAGCAGCTTGCATCAACAATTGCAAAACACGTCTGTCTGTCATCCCGCCAGAGAAGCGAACGATAACATGCGCGACTCTAGATTTGAAGAGGCACACAAAAACAAATGAAAAAGGAGTTGAGGATGCAGAAGAAAAAAAAGATGAAAACTTCTCACCAAACAAAAAACATTCGAGACATTCGATTTGCAGACACAGTCACCGAAAAATAAAAGTACGAAAATAAATTAAAACAAAAAAATGTAAAAAAAAAAAAAAAAAAAAACGTGAGACACAAAAAAAAGGTTCTTTCAATATGAAACGTTCGTACAACTGTATGAACCACGCAACCGTCCA